AATAATGATAATGCTCAACACTTTCTCCTGTGCTTGATTTTCAGCTAATAGTACTGGACCCACCGGTGAGTAGTTGGGTGCCCTGTGGCCCACAGCTTACCCACCTGGGTGGCAAGTGCCATGGTGTGGGGACCCCTCATGCCTCCCATAGCCCCTTGTAGAGTCAGCGTAGACTTGGACAGCACAGAATTTTCACATCACCTGTGTTGTGCTTCAAGCTTGTGTCAGCCAGCCCTGCTCCTGGTCCAGACTTCTACCTCTTCTCCCACCCACAGGTAGAAGAAAGCAAGAGTGAGTGGTCTGTTCCACACTGTTTTACTATTTATGCAGCTCAAAAAACAATCGTGGTGGCAGCCAGGTAAGAGCCTTTCACATCTGCAACCCAGTGGGCCCTGCGAGCCCATGAGTAGGGGCTCCCCTGCCATGAGCCAGAGTTCCCTCCGAGTGATGAGAGAGTCATTCCCACAGTCAGGAGTGATGTGTGCCCCTTGAGCACTGCTTCTCCAGTGGTGGGGAGCCAGAGAACGTCTCCACAGACTGGCCATGGCACTGCCAAGCTGCTTCCTGCCCTTGACAAGAACAGACCTGCGAAGACTATCGGTTTCCAGGGGCACAAGCTCTTTGGCACACTCAAGTTAAGGGGCAGTGCCAGCGGGTTAGTGGGAGAACGACAGGGCGGCCAGGCTGGGGCCCTCCTCACCTGCATCCTAGCCCCTGGCTGTGCAGTGAAGCTGATGGGCCACAGCTCAGGGGCAAATGGCCACTTTCCCCTATTGGACATCAGATCAACAAAGGAGGGGCAGCCTGACCTCTATCGGCACCATGCTGTGCTGTCCCTCCCCTGGAGGAGCCAGGTGACTCCAGCCAGTTTCTCCTTCTCTCAGGCAGGCACCCACTAGCTCCCACCAGGAAATAATGATCCAGGAAGCAACCAATCTTGTATCTGAGACTTTAAACCCTGTTTAAGGAACAGACTACCCCATAGAGAACTCTAGTCCACACCAAGGTGCTGCCCTCCCTCCTCCTGCCCCTGGCAGCCCACAGAGGGACGCAGACTGGGCCACCAGCAGCACTCTGGACCATCCTTTGAACCCTGAGACAGGCATCCGCACTCCTGTCCCCTCTGAGATTGTGCGGGCCCTGAGGGCCAGCTCTGAGCCTCAGCCCTCCCGCCCGCCCCTCCCTCTCCCCACAGCACTGAGCTGGAAAAGGAGAAGTGGATGCATGACCTGAACAATGCCATTGAAGCGGCAAAGAGCGGCGGCAACATGACCCTGGCTCTGCCAGGCAGCGCGGTGTGCGTTCCTCCCCGCAGTGAGTTCTGGCTGAGACCCCCTGACTGAGGAAGCTTTCCTATAAGCCGGTTTCCTCGGTCACGTCCTGCCCACTAAGCCCATGTGCTCTGATACAAGGTTCCAGGCGGAAGGGCAAGCTCTTCCGGCAGAAGCCCAGGTGGTTTTGCTCTTGGCCTGGGCACAAAGGGAGAGCTCCCCTGCTCTCAGCGTGGTCCTGTCCCCTCTGAGCAGATGCCTGATTTCTCCCCCAGGACCCTCCGATGAAGTCTCCCTGGAGCAGGAGTCAGAAGATGATGCACATGGTCCCCACAGCTCCTCGGAGGGGCAGGGCCAGCACCGGGCCAACACCACGGTGCACGTGTGCTGGTACCGGAACACCAGTGTCTCCAGAGCTGACCACAGCGCAGCCGTTGAGGTACGAGGTATAACTGGCACAAGCACCCTCTCGGCTTGTGCTTGCTGGGGGTAAGGGACCCTGGGGATCGCAGGCAGCAGGGCAGGACTGGGCCAGGCCACAGCGAGCTGCCTCCTGCTCTCTTTGGGCAGGAAATTGGTTTGGAAAAGTCCCCTCAGGCACAGCAGCCCAGGGTTTTTGCCAGAGCTGTGGAGTGACAGTCACCCTCAGGACTTGAGCAACTCAGTGAGGAAAACTCAGAGCCCCGTGTGCTGGGAAGACCAGGGAAACTGGTGTCTCCAGAGTGCTCTCGAAAGGGCCAGTCTCCAGGAGCCTCCGCCCCGCCTCACCAGTCAGGGGTGCCTGTGAACGAGTGTCCCCTGACTTGAGCAACTCAGCCATCTGTGCTATCCTGTGGGTGCCGCTTGGGTGGTGAAGGCCGCAGATGTGCTCAGAACCCGTGTCCCTCAGGGTGAGGGCACAGGAAAGAAGTGTGGTACCAGCAGGAGGGTGGGAGGTGCAAAAGGAGGGGGCACTGCAGAGAGGGGTCAGCCCTGGGCCAGGGCTCCCAACTTATCAGCACAAGAGCGGCTCAGTCCTAAGGCTGCCCAGTGGATACCTGCTTGGGCTGGGGTTACATCCCTGCCCTCACCCAGCATGTGAAAGAACCTTCTAGACTTGGCTGCACATGGTCTATTACAGCATCCTCCCTTCGTGCTAGGGCATTTGTGAGGATTGGGGGGGGGGGGGCTGGCTGTATTCTTGGGGAGCACACCTGCTCCCAGGAGATCCCAAGAGGATGGAGCCAGGGGGGTGATTGCTCTGATGGGCGGCGGTCTTGGGACCTTAACTAATGCACTTTTGCTTTTTCCTTTTAGAACCAGCTTTCAGGGTATCTGCTAAGAAAGTTCAAAAACAGTAATGGCTGGCAGAAGCTCTGGGTGGTCTTCACCAATTTCTGCTTGTTCTTCTACAAAACACATCAGGTAGGAGTGTTTACCAGGGCCCGGGGTAGCCTGCCCGTGGTGCTAGAGGAGGGCCCACCATGCCCTTCTCTCTCACTTCAGAATCTCCTTACCCTCCCCCAGGGCCTCTGGGCCTGTGTGACCCTACTGCCACCGGAGGGGAGGGGAGAGGAGGGGAGGGGTGGAGAGGAGAGGTGGCTGGGGAATGCCCATGGAGCCGTGCTGCCTTCTAGGATGACTATCCCCTGGCTAGCCTCCCCCTGCTGGGCTACAGTGTGAGCATCCCCAGGGAGGCTGACGGCATCCACAAGGAGCATGTCTTCAAGCTGCAGTTCAAATCTCATGTTTACTTCTTCCGGGCCGAGAGCAAGTACACGTTTGGGAGGTAACTGCGTGGACTGCCTGGTTCCCCTGCTCCCGCTGGGGGCTGGAGGCAAGTTCCTGGTGTTGGGAAGAGGGCTGCGCATGGCTTCCTGGGTTTCCACTGGCCCTCGTCTTGTCCCATTCACTCCGTATCTTGGGAAGGTATTTGAGCACAAGCCCACTGTCAGATGGCCAGACAGTGCCCTGCTTCCCAAGCGGGCATCCTGGGCTTTCTGATGGGACAACCCCTTCTGCAGGTGGATGGAGGTGATTGAGAGAGCCAGCAGCTCGCCCGGGAAGGCTGGGGGCCCCGAGGAGGCATGAAGCCCATTCTGCCTGGATGAGGACAGCGCCCAGGAAGCAAAGCACAGTCGGCACAGGCCCCACGACTGCTCATCCCGAGTCTTCCCAACCATGGATCAGCTGTATGGGTGGGCCTCACTGTGACATCTGGGAAGGACACTGTCCTCCTGAAGACCCAGTGCAGTCCCCTGGCCCTGTGGGGCCCTGGCAAGAACACCAAAGTGAAAATGCAGGCCCAGCTCCAGGGTGGCCACCAAGCTGGTGCTCGCCTGCCCTCTCCTCTTCTCGAACAGGGCCCTGCTGAGAAAGGGCTTTGAGCAGGAACTAGGGTGGCCCCGAATCACTCACTGCTGTGCACAGGCCTGGCTGCCCTGTCCTTCAGTCTGGGTCAACCAGGGGTGTGGCACAGGCCTCAGGTCACAGCTGCACAAAAGTCCAGCATAAGCCACTCTGGTGCCCACCCACATACCTCCGGAGAAGTGGAAACCAAAGTTCCTTATGGCCCTGGGAGGGCAAGGGCCTCTAATTTATTAGTACCCAGTATTTCTTAACGAGTGGAAGTAGACATGCACTGCTTATGTGTGTGTGGCTGAAAATAAAGGGCATCTTTCTGCACCTGCCTGCTCAGTCTCGGGTCACTCCAAGGGGGAGACAGGGCTGTAGAGACCTTGCCTGGCTTAGATCCCCACCCACCACCAGTATGTCTTCATTTCAGGTCTTTATTGAAAGTGGCAGAAGCCTTCAATGTCCTATGAAAACTAACACCTTAACCTCAGAGTATAAGGGGAAACAAGGAAGTTCAGTTTTCTTAAACAAAAAACATTCTGGCTGACACTCGTACTTATGAGAAGACACAGTACCCGATCCAACACCACAAGGCAAATGTACAACCACTGTGGGCCAACGTGGGCCCTGGGTGGGGGCGGGGGCCTGGGTGCGTGGGGGAGAAGGCTGATCTGCCCAACAGCTTCCCCACCTTCAGTTCCAGTGGCTGCCATCCCAGGAGTCCAAGGAGGGGACGGCTCTGCCAAGGGGAGTTGAGGAGGCTGCACCTGCCGCCTCCAGGGCTGCACAGTTCTCCATGAGTCTTTGCTGCCAGGTAACCTCAGCCAGGCCAGGAGGAAATGGAAGCAGACAGCCCTCAGCACAGGGTGGGGGGCCTTGTCCCACAAGGGGTTCCAAGTCAGCACAGTCCGTACAGAGCTCAAAACAAGACCCTTCTCTCCCCTCTGCACAAACAGCAGCTTTAGCGGGCAGACGGCAGGTGGTTTCTGTTGTGTGAAAACCTAGAGGAGAGAGGCCCTGTCACTACCCTGGCTCCAGTGCAGGCCCACAGGAAGCCACCAGGTGGCGTGGGCTGAGGCCAGCAACACAGAGCAGCCTGGGAGGGGATGGGGGCACCTCCCATTGTAGCCCACTATTGGCAGGAAACGCCACCCTCCTCTCTCCAGCCCTGAAGCTACAAAACAGAAAGGAAGAGAGACAGAGAGCCTCTTCCAAAGTGACCCCTATAGCCCGTCCTGGGGTCCCACCCCAGCTCCCCCTCACCTCTGCACCCGCTCCACCAGGTGAGCCATCAGCTTGTCAGAGATGCCGGGGCAGGACTCCTCGGCCAGGCTGAAGGCGTTCTCCAGCTCCTCCAGAGCCCCCACACCCCCGCCGCTCTGCCTGTGCTTCTCTTTGAGCTGTGGACAGACCACCATGCGCCTGGTCAGAGGCTCACACTGAAGGCTTCTCAGGCTCTCTCCTGTGACTTGCATTTGGGGGCCCCACTCATGGTCCTTCCACCATACAGCCAGGATGGCTGGGTCCAACCAGGGGTTGCCCCCCTCAGAGTCTCAGGTCTTGGTTCTCAACAGGGGTGTCTCTGCCAGCCTGCCATGCTTTGGGAGACCCAGCTAACCACAGGACTTCCTCCCAACTGTAAGTGACACTCAGGCCTCAGGTCCAACGGACTTGAGAAAACAGCCCAGAAACTAATTCCCAGAGTGCTCTGCACAGCCGGACCGCCTGCTGACCCTCAGGGTGAGAGGGCACCAGTAGCCGCCCCTCAGCCTCCACGCTGCCCCAAGCTGTGGGAACCACTGACCTGGCAGGAGCCGTTAGGGGACAGGTCAGCATGGCCCTCCCTGCCACACCCTGACACCTGACACAAACGAGGAAGAGCCTGCATGTCTCCCAGTTCACCCCACCAGGCAGCCCAGACCTCAGGCCCAGCTTACAGGATCAGGACCCCTAAGGGATGCCCCTGCCAGCCTGGGTGGGGCTCTGCCTCCCCACTGGGCTCACTGTGGAAGCTGCAACAGCCTACAGATCCCCCCCATAAACACACACACACATACACGCTCCAAGCAGCTTGGGATATGGTAGTCCCGCCCTTCTCTCCAACACCTGTCAACTCCCCAGTTCCTACCCCACGTGGGGCCCAGCCTCTAATCCAAGTATTCAAGCTGAGCTCATAATTTCCTGCAGGGTCCATGACAACCAGCTCCATCCAACCTCCTCCCCTCGAATTCCAGGCTTCAGGGGCTAGAAGCGTGCCTGCCCTGCCCAGACGCCCCCACCTTCCTCGGGAAGACTCTGCTGCATCCTGTCCCCCTCCCTGGATTCCAGGTGCTGCCTTCACTCTGGGGTAGAAACTGGCCACTCTCGGGGCTCTCAGCTGCATCATACTCCCATCAGCAGGTGACACAGATACAGGATCAATCACCATGAAGCAAGAACTAGGCCTCAAGATGCTTCTGGTCATCCCATATGTTTGCAGTTCAAAGCCATCCTGGGACCCCAGGCGGGACAAGGGCAGGCCAGGGAACTTGAGAGGGCCATGTTAGGGCAACCAGTCTCAGCTGTTCCTAGTCCTTCTGCTACAAAGCCTGGCCAAGAATTAAAGCACTGTGAACTCCAAGGGACCTGGAACCCTGTGTACTGGGCACTGCAGCCCCATGCCCCACAGAACCCCCAGCCTAGCCCTCACCTCTCCGAAGACAGGCCGGACCAGCGTGGACAGGCACTGGGACCGCGGCTGCCTCTTGACGGACTCCACAGTCTGCAAAAGCAAGGCCACAGCGAGGTGAACAGGGCAGAGAGGCAAGTGGATTCCTGGGGCAGGTGTGCTCCACCCTGGCCCCATTTCTAGCCTCCATCAGAGATGCAGAATGTGAGAAGCACAAGGCACCCTCCCAGCACATGCAGGGCCAGGGCCTGGGGGACTGCACCTTCTGGGGGCCATGCAGGGCTGTCCCCTTGTGCAGCTTGCTGTGTGGGCTCGGCCGGATGGTTGGGGGGAACGTCCAGATGGGGCCCTGTTCTCCGTCCTCAGCATCTCCATCACTGCAGAGGAGAGTGAAGTCAAGAGGGCCCTGAGGGCCAGGATTCAGGGGGATCCCAAGCACACGCCTCTCAGCGCCCCCACCCCACTACTTTCTGAGGCATCCTCACGGCCTTAAATGCTGGGTAGGGCCTTGCTCAGACTGCAGGAGCCAGGTGACCACAAAGGTCCTCAGAAACCAGCACCCAAGTTCCCGCCCTGGAGCAGGGACCCCTTGCATGTCACAGCCCAGGGCAGATGCCCTGCGTGACAAGCAGGCCTACATGTCCGAGTCCTCGGAGCTTGACTCCTCGCCGTGCCCCTCAGACTTCCAGCGCTTGTAGCGGTCGATGAGCTCGGTCAGGAAGGAGGTCTTCCTGGTGTATCGTGTGATGAACTTGTGCTTCAGGAGCTCTTTGGCGGTGGGCCGCTGCAGGGCAACGGGCAGGCATCACTGGGTGAGGGCTGGCTGGGCTCATCCTTTAAACTCCTGGAGCTTGGACTCCAGCCAGCCAGGCTGGGAATGGGCCTGGCCATCAAGCTCTCCGACAGGACCGTGAGGGTTCCGGGGGAGGCAACCAGGAAGCTGGGGCTGGGCTCCACCATCTGCCCTGGGCCAAAACCCTCCAAGAGCTTCCCCAGACCCTGAACTAGGCGGGGCCTAGGGCCCTGTCACCTCCCATTCCCACCAGACCTTCCCAGAGGGCTGGAACTGTCCTGGCCCACCCCATGCAGCCAGGGGCCTGAAGCTTACGAAGCGGGGGTCCTTGTTAAGGCAGGCCTCCACAAACTCCTTGAAAGGCTTGCTGTGGTGGCCCTCCAGCGTGGGCGGGCTGTTCTTGGGGATCAGGAACAGGACGCGCATGGGGTGGAGGTCAGAGTTCGGAGGCTCACCCTTGGCCAGCTCGATGGCTGTGATCCCCAGCGACCAAATGTCGGCCTGGACAGAGCCACACAGGACAGTTGCCACCAGGGGCACCCTGAACCCTGCTGCAGCCACCCTCATGCCTGCCGTGCCCACCTTGAAGTCATAGGCTGACTGCTTGATGACTTCGGGTGCCATCCAGAAGGGGGTGCCCACAAATGTGTTCCTCTTGATCTGCGTGTCCGTGAGCTGCCCCGCCACCCCGAAGTCTGCCAGCTTCACGTCACCTTGCTCTGAGAGCAGCACGTTGGCAGCTGCCCAACACAGGACGGCAGGGCGTCACCCTTTGAGCCACACGCACCCCCAGCCTATGTGCAGCTGCAAAAGACACGCCTGCTGGCAGCCACCTGGTCTCCTGGGGACACCAGCAGAGCTGTCCCTGAGACCTCATCTTGTCTCTCCTCCATCCAGCAGGCTAGAGATGGGACCAATCTGTCCACCCTCAGACTCAAGGCCATGGGGCAGTGCCAGCAAGCTAGGGGCCCACCGTGTGCAGCCCCCAGCCCAAGCTCCAGGACCCTGCCATAGTTTGCCTTTTATGACAGATCCCAAAAACACAGCAATTGCCTTTTTCTCCCAAACCGCCCAACAGGCAGAGCTTTCCCCTCACTCCACCAGTCTCCAGTCAGCCTCTCAGCCACATCCCTCCTAGGGACACTCAGCAGGGCCAGCCCACACCTGACACAAAGAAGTACACTTCTGGCTTAAATAGGGTCCCTTCTTACACTAGGCGCACAGTAGGTGTTTTTGCCATACAGAAATATGGTGCTAAGAAAGTTCTACCAGTTACTGGCTGTTTTCTGGCAATCGAGCTGATGGCTGTGCTCAGGATCCAGTGGGCACTGGGTTACAAGGGTCCCCGCATCCCAGATGCCTGGCACCACCATCCACATGCCCATATCAACCTGCCACCTCATGCCCTGGTCTTTCTAGGGTCACGGAGCTCAGGGGCCCAGGCAGGAGCCATGCCCTGAGGGACCTTTGATGTCTCTGTGGATCTTGCGCTCCGAGTGCAGGTAGTCCAGGCCCTTCAGAATCTCCCTCAGGATCGTGGCGATGTAGGTCTCCTCCAGGGGGCCCGGTTTCAGCTGTGCACAGACCGGAGAGCAGGGCCTCAGACTCCCTCCACCAAGGCCAATCTGCCCTTCCTTCCACACCACCCCAGACTGTCACCAAGGCCCCGGCTCAACCGCCTCGCCACCAGGGGAGGGTGACCCTGTGCATAGTGGGGCTCCCTACTCCATGAACTACTTTGGAAATAAAATGAAGTTTCCGGTGTGGGTCACGAGGCTGTTTTTAGAGAACATACAATACCTTCACCTTCACTGTAAAGGTAACAGATGAAAATGGGGTCCCAGCCACATTCTACGCCTGTATGACTGGGGACACTAACCCTCCTGCCCCCTCCCCAGGCCAGAAGATGCCCAGGACCCTCAACACCCACCAGTGGGGACTTAATACACCAAGATAGCGTAGGAAAGGAGGCCCACAGGAGTCTAGGGACACAGCTGGGACAACCCCATAGCAACCTTTTGTCTGGTCCTGCCCCTAGCAAGCTGCCCACCGTTTCAGCCTACACCTCACCAGGTCCAGTGCGGAGCCGCCGCCCAGGTACTCCATGATAATCCACAGCTTTGTGCTCTGGGACCAGAGAAATGCCTGTCAGTATGTGGTAGTCAGCAGGGAGCACCCCAGGCCCCATGACACACTCCCAGGCAGGGCTCCGGCCTGTGGGAAACCCTTCAAGAAAGGGATCCAGCAGCCTCACCCGGCTCCCCTCCCATCACACTCCTATGACAGCAGCTTTGCAGATGGAACATGTGCTCAGACAAGTAGCCAAGTCTACTCTGCAACAGGCCATCAAAAACTAGGCTGGGAAGACGGCTGCCCAGCTAGCACTTGACCTCGATGTATCCACACACTGTGTGCCCTGGGCAGGCCCCCGAGCTGGCACTGGGCTCTACTACAGGACCTCATAAACGCCCTCCCATTGGGGCTACCCCAGCCAGGGAGTCATACAGCCCATTCAGACTCTGCAGACTCCACTCAGGCCCTGCCTCTCCCAGGGCTCCCCCTCAGGATGAGAGAGGAGTCTCCCAAACACCTGCCTGGCCCTCTGGGCTGTTGTTTTGGGGGCCTGCTCAACTGTGAAGCTGTGTCCATGCTCGCTGTCAGGCCATGCCTCTCCTCCCTGGTGTTCCAATATGGGGGCAGGTGCAGAGACTGTTGGGTTTAGCCCCGGCCCCAGGGAACCCTGGGCATCCACCTGAGCACGGGCCCCGCCCCCAGACACCTTCAGGTAGGAGCCGAAGTATCGGGTGATGTAGGGGCTGTCACACTGGCTGAGCACAGTGATCTCCTGCTGGATGTCCTCGATCTCGTCCTCGGCCTCCTCCAGGTCGATGATCTTGATGGCCACCACCTCCTTGGTGCGGTTGTCGATGCCCTTGAACACCTCCCCGAAGGAGCCCTTGCCAATGCGGTCCAGCTTGGTAAAGAGCTCCTCGGGGTCCACACGCGAGTGCTGCAGGGACACAGGGTGGGCAGCCCCGTCAGGGCAGGGCAGCCCGCAGGGACGTGGGGATCCCATGTGCCAGCAGCAGACAAGAGCTCACCCAGGTTCTTTTTGAGTTTCCTCTTTCATCCCTTTTGTTTCAGGAAACCAAAATGCACCCTCCACAGGGAGATCCTCAGAGAGCACAGAGGCCTGGCTCCAGCCAAGGGGTGGAGGTGTGGGGCAGGTGGAGGGGCCACAAAGCTCACACCCGCTGCCCACCCCCACCGGTGGGGAGGACCAAGTGAGGTACAGTGATGGGTTAAAAGTAGGGGGAGCATAAGGATTTTAGGCAGTGAGACCATCCCGTAGGATACAATACCACATGAAAACCATGGGCATAGTTAATAATGTATCCACGTTGACTCATCAATTTTTACAAACGTTAACACACAAATGCAAGATATTAATAATATGCTAACACCCGGGCAGTGACCAGACCTCTCACTCATTTTCCTGTAAACCTAAAACTACTCTAAAAAAATTATCTTAAACAAAACACCCAGCGTGCATGAACTCACTTGACAGCCACACCCCCTTAGAAAGGGCTTCCCTTCACCACCCCCACGCAGTCCTCAGGACACTGCACCTCACACCAGCACGGAGCTTGACCCTGGACACTCAAGTATCACAGCAAACTGCCCCACATGGCCCTCGGATTTAAACACAAACAAGGCCAGAAAGGTACAGAGCTGCCAGTGCAGATGGTGCCCAGGACAGGGCTGGCAGAGGGGCTGTGACCCTCAATGCATCAGGGGCTCAGAGGGCTCAGTGTGGGGGCTGCATGGAGGACAGCAACACCAGAGAGCTGGCCAGGGCCACCCTGGGCATCCCCCAGGTCCTGCCCACGTGGCTTCCTGGGCTCCAGAGAATGTTACACTCCACCCACCACCACAGACCATGTTCTCAGAAAGCCAGGGTTGGCCCTGCAAGCCCAGTGACAAGGGAGCCAGGTGCCCAGGACCCACATGTCCTTTAGCGGCCTTGTCTGGACAGAGGCAGAAAGGTTCCCAAGTCCCGTAGACCTCAAATGCCCCAGGGCACACCTCCCTCTGAAGAGGCCACCCCACCCCACCAAAGCACCCACACCAGGGCCAATGCAGTGACAAAAACCACACC